ATCGAAAAAGATTTAAGATTCTAATAGATCACTTTTTTTGTCTTATTTAGCACAAGTCAAGTTCTGCTTGTGCTACATATTATAAGTTATCTGCAAGAGTTCTTTATTGTAGAGAATAAATCATGTGATAAAAAGCATTACATTTCTGCACTTCGTAATAATGTATAAGTAACGGTTATTCTAAATTTGTAGATCCGGCTTAAATATAGCAATAGCATGCCTAAATATGTCTTTCAACAAGTTATTAATAATCTAATCCGAATATAGAAATGTGCGATTGTTAATTTGCTGTGTCCAATAAATGTGGTGCTGAATTTAGTAAAGAATTTAATTATTTGTACTGTAGAAATTATCGTGCTACGTTAAGACGCCAAATAAAAAATATTAGTTGACTCGTGTTTAATTATTGCAATGCCGAGTCATTTATATTGCATACTACTTCGTGTCAGATTATTACAGTATATACTGAACTAATAAAAATAAGCCGTAATTTATAATAAAAGGGTCCAGTGCAAAGTTCTGTTCCAAATTCGGGTGAAAAAGCAGTTGATAGAACGTGGTTGTATTAAAAAAGCACACATATATATTTTACAAGTATTTTTGAAAACAAACTTGCCCTTCGAATAATCACAGCCCAGTATATACGCTTATTTTAAATTTGTAAATAGCTGAAGTGCCAAATACATTGAAATCCAGTCCCAAAAATCGTGATGCATGTTGATCGAACACTTTTTGTTATCAGGTAAAACCGCCCCTTGAAAACAAACATATTGTTATTAATACGCTCTACATCAAATTTATACACAGCCCAAAACTAGATATTTATATATATAACCACATAATAATAGTGGAGCTAGTGCTAATTTAGATTATATTTTATCGATTTTCTACTCTTCACACTAGATTGTTTTGTGTTGATAGGTTGACCTTTCCAAGCTACTATTGAATATACTTAGTTATGCAAAAAATTTTGGATCTATTATTGAAACGATAGGGCCTCTACTGAGTATATTTGTGGTTCAACAGACACATGGTTATTATTTTAATAACCCAATAGTTAGTTTAGGGTGGTTGGTCCAGTCCGCAAAAAATATGCAATCTATTTATCCTTTATAATATAGTCTTCTTAGGTGTAGTTATAGCCTTTCGAGGCAGGCCCAAGATCCGACTATTACCTCTTTGCAATTTACTTCTTCTTCCAATAAGTCATGCAAAAAATTTCGTCTCTATTGAGTGATAGGGCCTCTGGCTTGGTTTTTTCATATTTACAAAAACCCAATTTTAGAGGGCATGATCGTCACTATAATTGTCTACGTAGTAAGGAGAGGAAGACCGAATGAGCTTCCTGCGGTTTAGTCCACTAAGCTACAGGATAAGAAATAGTTCGAATGTATCCACCTCGCTTTTTATTTATTATACTTCTTTCTGGGATAGTCATGCAAAAAATTTCGTCTAACTTTGGACGATAGGGTCTTTGACTTCATATATCTAATTGATATTCATTTATTACAATACCTTTCGCAAAAATTGAATCTGAAATTAAGGAAATATTAAGTTGATAAAATCTAATAGATCTATAAACCGTATAATCGTTAAAAAAATTATTGTCGAATAATCCCAAATATGTCAGGTCTTAGTATTTCTATTATTATCGACAAAAAAGATAGAACACTACCTAAACCCTTTAACAACCGTCCTGGGTATAATATGAGGTATGTGCAATCATATGTCTTAAATTATTGTGGTTATGGTAGTAAACAACTTGAACGACTTTATGCAACTGAAAGATTATATGACAACTTGTCTATCATAAGACAGGATGAAAATCTTATTCAATGGGCAGTGCGAGTTAGAATCAATCTTCAAGATTTGTTACTCCAACAAAAATTTAGTGTATATCACCAATTCTGCTTATTCACTTCTTATCCTGGAGATAAGTTAGAAGATTTTAATTATTATAGACCCAAACCATTCAAAAATGGAACTGCGATTTGCTTTGGATATTGGAAAGTAATTCGTGTTAATATTAATGAAAAACCTAGAAAGATACATCACTTCTCAAGAGGTAGATATATAGAAATTTTTGAATCTAGTGATTTGATGATGGAATATTGGGATCATGAATGTAATAAACCAAAAACTAATTTTGGATGTGCTTGGATTATACAAAGAATATTTCACCGATTTAAAGAAAGGGAACCATCAAATGCACGAATTGCTTGGAATAGTTTGGCAAATGATAACACTCCCAATGAGAAAAAATTTTTGGGTTTAACTTCTTGCAAAGTGAAAAAGCCAATCTCCCTAGATCAAATTAAAATACGTCTTAATAAGGAATATGGCGAGTATATAAAAAAATATAATAGACTTCCATATATTGCTGAATTTGAAATTAGTAGATATCAGGAATATATTATTCCATATGATTGGATAGGTAGAAAGAAAAACCAATTACAGAATAGATTTCAAGAGCATTTTTTAAAACTTGAAACATAAATAAAATCAATTTATTGATATAATATTTTTTGTAGATAGGTAGTTGTCCACCGTTTTTCTAATGCTATTCTTGAGAGTGGGAGGTACATAAATGCCATTGTTTCACAATAAGCCACAAGTTTCCGACTCATCACAATTGGGTATGCACGAAGTGAATAAAAATCTATGAAGTGCATACTATAACACTATGGACTTTTCATTTTGATTTTTCAGGTTCAGAATTTGTGGGCTCCGTAGGTAATGCATTTTTTGTCTTACGCTTTTGACATAACTCTATTTCTTTCTGCAAATCTAATGGGGTATCGAACCTCAACCGGATTGCAAGTGGATCGTCCTCTGCTCTATTAAGGTCAAATACAATAAACTCACTCTTGCGAAGATAGCTATTGATGCATTTTTTATATTATTGGTATATTATTATTAATGCTTCAGTTGAGACACAAAGACTACATAAGCGGAAATCACAGATACATACGTTAGACTAACTTTGGTCAACACGTAACCAGGTCTCGCCACCTGAGTGCTCCCTTTACTCCTTCAAGTAGACTGTTGTGCGTGTCTCATCATAAGGCAAATTTTGCACCCCCTGTAATTTTTATTCGGTTATCTTTCCATTACTGCATTAAAGTACGAATAAATATTTCACTAGTCACGTGGAGGATTTTGTTACTGCGCTTATGACACAGACCCGTGACTTTTAGAACAACAGAAATAGATGAATGATTTTTTTAGCCTACTGCAAAACATGTCCATACGCCTCAATTTTTATCTCGACAATATAATTGAAGATTGGACGTGTCTCAAAGTAATAGGCCTTTACCGTACAAAAATAAAACCAAAGGGTTTGAAAGAACTGCTGAGTTTTATACATAAAGATCTTCGAGACATTGCAAATTCTAATCCTGGATTTGACGCGACAAAGAAGAAAAAAGCTCGGGAAATACTGGATAACTGGAAAGTATGCGTGCTGATAAAGTAAAATGAGGTTTGTCTGAACAGTGATGAACTTTAGGTTCGACGCTTAGCGCAAGCTGGGACTTTAGGTCTTCAGTGATGAACTTTAGGTTCGATGCTTAGTGCAAGCTGGGACTTCAGGTCTTACAAAGACAGGGACCTTGGTCCAGTGCTTCTTTTACTCTATTATCTTTTACTCTATATTGTTATTGTTGAACATTTCATTATTATTCTTTGTTTTGTCAAGAACTGGACTGTACCACTAAAGAACTACAAAAAAGAGTGTGCACGATTCAATATGAAGTAAAACAGATAAAACAGGTAAACCAACTTTCAACCGGAGATGGAGCAACATACAACGACAATCGTCAGGGGAAACATAGTCGAGATGTGGATGATGATGAAAAAAAGACGGGTACTGAAGGAGCTACAATTCCGGCAAAAAAGGTGACTCTATTAACGTATTAATTCCTTTACAATGGATAGCGAACATCAACAATCATTTATAACATAAATAACAAATTGACGTTTTTCATTTCCACCTCATAAACAAGCGCAAAACTAAATCTGAAAAAAGAACGAGAAGTGGGAGAGTAATTGTACCGAATTATCGTGTTACTTACAGATACGGATGTTGGAACTTCCTCCGAAAAAACTACATACACAGATGAAGACTCCTCTCAAGAAAACGAAGAGGAAGCAACGACCGAGAATTCTTTCGAAAATCGCTCCCAAGGAAATGATGAGAAGAGAACTATTCAAGATAATATTGTAAGTAGTTATCTAATAATGCACTTTAAACCAACAGATGTTTAACACTGATTTTTTTCTACCAGATAACAGACATCTTAGGAAATACTGAACTCTCAGACGCATCAAAAAAGATTTTTACGATTTATAAAGCGCAATACCCTGATGGTGATCTAATTGACCTCCGACTAGAATCGCCCTTTTTAAAAGAACTTTCAAGACAAGTAGCAACATCGTATTTAACGGAAATGGATACCATGACAGAGACGTTGGTCCCCGCAAATGTTCACGAATTTCTTGTAAATTTTTTTTCACAAAACTTAACAACCGAGGAGTGGAATTCCCAAATCGATGATTTAAGAGCACCAGAAAAAGGTGATTTCATAATGAATTCAGTGGTACGAGTTTTACGTCGTACATTGCCACAATTGTATGTATGCATTATCATTATATTGATTTATTTTTTCAGATTCTGTTCTGAATATTTCTTTCTTTTGTGTAGTATTAAGGCATTTTCACTCGAAGAACAGAACCCACTTTTAAATATTGGCACAATAGAACATGCGCATCTTAATGCTTTCGTTCACCCATGTCTTGACGCTTCTTTATGGTACATTGCTGGTATACACTATGAATTCGGCGAGATAGCGTCGAAAAATCACACTAATGGTAATCGAGCTGATGGAGTTGGTTACATGACGGATGCTGATAAGTATCAGCTCATTTATGTTGAAGGCTCGAGACCAGTAACAAAAGATAAAAAGGAAACCGATGACATCAAAAAAATAACAGATAATTTAAAGAATATATTCGCGAATATTGTAAAGGAAACCATCAAAAGCAGGCAACGTTTACCAAAGAAGTTGTATGTATTCGGTGGACAAAGTTTTCGTCTTCGGATATATTTATATTTTCTTGATTATTATGGTATGTGTTTTCTTTCTATTGAAAAATTACACTGTAAGAATGTACTGATGATTTGTTACTAAATATTAATTCAGGAACGTATAGATTAAACGAGATTGATAATGCCAATCTTCCTCGAAAATTTTCTGAAATGAAAAATTTCGTTTATTTCTATGAAAGTGTATTGAAATGGTCGGTATGTATTAATGTGGATTTACGTTATGATATTAAACTTCCACTAATCATATGTATTTATAAATTTAGCTATTGGTTCGTGATGTTACAGCATCCTTTGATGATGCAAGAGCTTAACAAAGACCTTCGCGACTTTCGTACGCAAACGCTCTTCTCCAGTTGGATTGATGTTAAAAAATGGTTGTAATATGTGGGCATCTTGGACTGATTCAAAAATATTGATCTTACATAAATTACGAATACAATAATTTCATTGATATATTTCTCTTTGCAGTTCAATCATATATTGAAAACAAAGCTTTTTCAGTTGATTAAAAAGTGATTTTTCTATACTGTAATATCTAACAATTAGAATTTAAAGTTTCGAGTTTATTTAATGAGACCAGCATAGCGGGCTTTTATTGTGATTGGCTGATTTTTGAAGATCATCTTATCATAATAAAGTCTTATTAAAGTAACG